TGGCTGGCCCCACCACTCCCCCCTCCTCAGCATACTTTGGGACAAACAAACACCCGAAAATAGCCCTGCGGTTGGAGGGGGGCTCAGGGCCTGGCAATCGGGAGGGAAGCACCCCTGCCCTGCTCAGCCGGAAGGTGCGAGGAAATGAGATAAGGAGGAGCAGCGTCCTGGGGAGAGGGAAAGTGCCTCTGGGCTGGCATGTGGGCCTATGGTTCTAATCAGGGGGGGATGCTCAAACTGTGACTCGGGGACTGCTTGGAGGACTGTAGGTTTCTCTGCGCCACTCAGCAAGCTGCCCTCCCTGTAGCTGCAGAGATGAACTGCAGCATTGCACACTTCAGGATCTCCATCCCAAGCACTGGTGGCTTTGCTGGCACATGGACATCTGTCTCTGTTGTCAGGGAAAAGGCGATAGCCCCAAGACGCAGATGTGTGAAGCACAGGAGTGGCCTTGCTGCCCCCAGCGTCGCTCCAGCACTCACTTCTCCCCCACTGCCTCTGCCCTGGGACCTGCTCTAGCCCTCTTCCTCCTCCACTTCACTTCCTTTTGGGATGTGCCCCCTTCCCCAGGGGCTGCCTCCAGGTGCAGGACCCCACAACAAGCAACAAGCCCCCTGCCAGTGCCTGGCCTTGCTCCATGTGCTGAGTGCATCCATTCTCTGCTACACACCTGCTCTGCTGCCAGCTGAGCCCACCCTGGGCAAAGAATAAGGTACAGTCCTCAGATGTCCTTGCCATCTTCTTGGTGTTCCTCTGCTCTCCCTGTCCCTTCTCTTGCCCTGAGCTCCCAGCCCTGTTTTGCTTTCCTCCCCCAGCCCATGTCCCCTCCCAACAGACTAAAGCCCCCTCCACATGCTCTTCCCTTTCTGCACCCCCTTGCCCCCACCCCAGGCCTCATGCCAGCTCCGTGGCTCCCCCAACTCCCAGTGCCAGGGGATGGGGTGGCCAGGTCCCAGCAGCCCAGTGGCACAGAGACTCATGGCATTCGTGGGAGGCCACACTGGTCCTGTGGGCTACCAGAGCATCTTTGCTGGGTGCAGGCCATTTCCTAGGAAGAGCATCCACACAGCTCTGCAGCCACATCAGCCGTGCTCCAGCAGCATACTGCCACGCCAGCGACGGGCTTGGTGCACTGCAGTGTCACAGAGGCTGCAGGCAGAGGGAGGATGAGCCCATCCCTGACCTTTCTTCCCACTGCTCCTATGGGGGTGATTCAAAATGTGCTCCTGAGCCTGCTGTGGCCAAAGACCTGGGAAGGGGCTGGAAAGATGAGCAGAAGATTGACAGGATTTTGTTTAGCTAATGCTTTTTATGGTGTTATAGAAAGCGTTAAAAGGGCTAAGGAGGGGCTTAAAGAAAGCATGGACAGGCCTGAAATGGGAGAAAGTCGGGAAGCAGCTCTGCCAGGTGCAGCGAGCCAGGCTGGGAATAGCTACTGGCTGAGCTGAAGATGCTCAGCAGGGTAGTAAGATCACCACAAGGCTGGTGTGGGAGCATTGGGATTGGCCTGGCAGTGCAGAGCTGTGCTGTCAGATGTAAGCCTGAATTTTATTCAGACCCTTGTCTTTGTAACTCCAAGGACTTTTGATGAGCGGGGAGCCCCTCTGCTACCTGTGTGGGACTGGGGCCCCCAAGCTGCCATCCCAAAGGGGCACCAGGGGGCTGCCAGGTCCTGCCTCCAGAGAGCAGGGACATCCCTTTGCTCCAGGTACCCCAGGGTGTCCCATGGTTGAGAAGGACCCTTCATTGCCCACCCTGAACACCCCCTGCACACCCTCCTGGGATGCCCTTTACCCAACCCTGCAGATTTCGGCTGCCATGGGATGCTCGCTGCCCACACCCAGTGTGCCAGCTCCTCTCTGGCCCATCCTTTGGGAGAGAAAATGGCCCGAAGGACCTACCTTGGGATGTCACTGGCTCAGGGGCTGACAGTGGGCTGTGGAGGCTGAGCAGGATGTCAGGGAGCAGCAAGAGCAGCCAGTCCCAGCGTAGGCAGGCTGCCATCCTGCAACTCATGTGCCTATGCTGTGCGTGCTGTTCTTGGCCCTTCCCAGTGCCTTGGGAGCTGCTCCGGCTCCCCTGGGCGATACCTTTATCTGGGAAGTGGTGGCTGTGCAGCTCAGGAAGCCTGGCTGGAGGCTCCCTCCGCCCCATTGCCAGCACTTCCCCACGCCCGAAACCACCATGCTCTGGCCCCTCCACCGCCAGCCACAGTGCCACTGCCAGCCACTGCTTCTATCAGATAGGTGGCACATCCTGCGCTTGTGGCTACCGGCATGCTGGGAGGCTGGGGTAGGAAGAAAAACAACCCCTGAGAAACCAGGGAGGCCCCTGTGTGGGGCAGGACAGGGTGGGGCAGGGCAGGACAGGCTGTTGGGGGCGCCAGGCATGTGGGAGCATGAGACATGGGACAGCTGCTCTGGTTCCATCCTGCCCTGTGCTGTCTGGCATTGGTGTGTGCTGGGTCTGCTCTGCATCGCCCAGTGGCAGTGTCCCCATGGCTGTGCCGGCAAGAGAGCTACAGGCATGGGGGGCATTGGCAGAGCCCACACAGGTGCTAGTGATGTTGGTGCAGGAGCAGGGCCATTATGGTGGGTTCCTGCAGGCATGCTCAACCTTGTGCTAATCCACCACCACTGCTCAGCACAGGTGGCTGGAGGGGTGTCCCACTCTGCTGGGGTGCAGCACTGTGGTGCAGCCCAGGGAGCACCAACCAGGTGTGTGGAGTCACTCATGCACGTGTCCCCACCACACTAAGGGTGGGCTGGCTTCTCCTTGCCCTGCAGCTGAGGACAGCACCAGGGGCACTGAAGGGAGATAGGAACAGCGAGCATCAATTCGTCACAGTCAAATTTCATCAAATCAGTCCCACTTTCTTCTCCATCCAGCTACTGGGCTTTGCTGTCAGGGAGGCAAAAAGCAGAAAGCCCTTGGTTTGAGCAGGGCTGATGAGGCTGCCTCAGACACTGTTCCTGGCTGTGGAGGAGGTGCAGAGGTATTGCACATCAGGCTGCCTGAAAGGGCCAGTCGCCATCACCGTTCACTGGGGAACCTCAGTGGTGGGGCAGAAAGGCTGCTTACTAACAGCTGCAGTTGACACCAAAGAGCACTGGAGGCCAGAATGGAAAATCAAAATGGTATTGACAGGGTTGAAACATCTTCTGGGGAAGAAAGACTCTTACCCAGACAGGCAAATGCAGATGCCCCTGCCTTTGGCTGGGATACCAGGGTCCAGGGCAGAAGCCCTTGCTTCCTGTGGACTGCAGAAGAGGGTAGAAGGGCAGCTGGATGGCAAGCCTAGGGCTTAGCAAGATGAAGCCAAGAGAGATGAAGTCCACCCACTGTCAAATGGCAGTAGTGCAGGATGAGGGACCGCAGCCTGAGGCAGGAGCTCCTGTGAGAGGGTCAGCACAGAGTCCAGGTGATACTCCAGGGACAGGCAGAAGAAACAGAATCACCCTAGTGGCACGTGTTTGAGCAGACTGGTTGAACACAACAGTCCCTTTGCAAGACATGAGAAGTTACCCGATGGCTTGGCGCAGTGCTGTGCCCAGCTGACCAGGATGGGTAGGGTGCGGAGCTGCACAGCCCTGCAGGGACCAGCCAAAGAAGCAGGGCCATCCCCGTGAAGAGTGGCCAACCAAGGAGAAGCTGCAGGAACAATTTTCAAGCATGTGAGAGGCAGCTGCGCAGAGGAAGGGCATAGTCTGTTCACCATATCCCTTGGTGATAGGACAAAGACTTAAATTGCAGGGAGGGAGATCCCAGTCAGATACTAAGAAAAAGCATTCCCATGGCACAGTAAGATCTGGGGCTTGTCTGCGGGCATTGAGTCATCCCTGAGGACCATCAGAAGACTCCAATGGGGACAGGATGCTGAGGAGTGCCCACCACGGCAGCAGACCATTGGGTCCTTGCATCCTGTTCCCCAGTGCCGTCAGAGAGGGCAGAGCTGGGTCCCCACTTCTCCTTCTGTGGACCTGGATACCTGTTGCACTGTCTTTATTGTCCATAGGGCAGAGTAGGCACCTCTGAAGGGTTACTGCAGAGCTGGAGGCTATGCACAGACAACACTGTCCTTGACCCCTTGCACCCGCTGGGATGTCCCAGTCCCATGCTGGCAGCGATGCTCACAGCTCTGCTGGCAGGACTTCAAGCCGAGTGCACTGCATGCTGAGAGCTGCAGGGCAAGCAGCTGCCAGGTTGCTGCTTTCCCTCTTGCCCCAAAACTTGGGCGTTTGCGTCCGTGGGCCCAGGCGGCAGCACCCTGGCTCCTGAGAAAGCCCCTCTCCTCCCCACTCTGCTGCAAATGCCCTGCTGCTGCTGCTTGTCCTTGGAGGCCGTCCCAGCATGTCCCACAACAGTTTGGGGCCATGTTGGTGGCTAGCGGTGTGCCAGCATGGCCAGCACATGCTGGGTGGGCAGCCAGGGAGGGGATGGCACAGTCCTGCTACAGGAAAGGTACTCTCAGGAAGGGGCACTGGCATTTGGCTACTTGGTCCCAGCAGGGGATGGGCAGTCCTTTGTCCTCACAGCACTGTCCCAGCAGGCTGAGGCCAGTGTTGCCCCTCTGTGTGGTGCCAGCACAGCCTCATGCCTCCTCGGCGGTAGCATCGATGCCTGCATATGTGAAGTTCTCAAACAGGGCCATGTTCACGTAGGCCTGCGGAGGAACCCCAGTCAGGAGCCAGTTGTGACAGTGTTGCCATCCACCTCCCATCCCTGCTGGCATACTCATGCTCACTGTGCCCTGGGGGGAGGCAATGGGGCTCCCCACACCCAAAAAGTGATGCTTGGGTTACCCCCATGTGTGGTGGGGTCACACAGGTTCTGCTGCTGGATGCCCCCACCCCAAACCCAAGGGATGCTGCAGCATTTGGACAAGCCCCATGCAGGGCGGGCATCCCACCTGCTGAGCTGCTGCCACTCACCTTCCTGGCCTCCAGCATGCGGATGAGCTGCATGGAGATCTGGGCAAAGGGTGGGCGCTCGTAGGGGCGGTCGCGCCAGCACTGTCGCATCAGCTCATACCTGGGGGGCAGAAGGACGGTGGCAGCTTGGTGTGCACAGGGGGAGAGGGGGCAGAAAAGCTGTTTGTGGAAGATGAGGGGAAGCAGGCAGGAAACTAAAGCCCAGGAAGTGCGTTTGGGGTGTGGGACCCCAGCTCACCCCCAGCCACAGTGCAGTTGGTGGAAGCCCCATGGGGTAATGGGGTCAGGGGACATGGGTGCCACCATCAGCTGAGGCTCTCTGCCCACTTACACTTCGTCGTCACAGTTGCGTGGCTTCTCCATGCGGTAGCCCTGGGGCAGCTTCTCGTAGAGCTCGGCGCACGTCATCCCGCAATATGGCGTCCCCCCTGTGGCCAGAGACACTAGCTGGCTGTGGCGGGGATAGTCCCCAGGGTGTTCCCTCTGGGGCTGCAGAAGGACCAGACCTGCAGGGACCCGAGTGGAGGTAGGGGACACAGAAGAGCCTTACCCAAGCTGACAATCTCCCAGAGCAGGACGCCAAATGACCACCTGAAAGGGCAGGAGCCGAGGCTGTGATGGAGCTCCCAGCCGTGCCCTGCTGATGGGCACAGGGCAAAGCCCAGGGTGGAGCAGGCAGCCAGGGAGATGCATCAGCATCACTTACTGCCCTTGCAACATCCAGAGCAAAAGCATTGCCACACTGACCACCCTGGAGAGGGATGGAGGTGGCCATGGACATGCCCCAGCCCCAGTGCCTCTGCCTGCAGGACTTACACATCACTCTTTGTGGTGTACACACTGTAGTTCAGAGACTCGATGGCCATCCAGCGAACTGGCAAGCGGCCCTGGGGGAACACAGGCCAACTGTCAGTGGAGGGGGGATGCCCCATGGATGGAGGGCAGCCATTACCTAGCTGGTCCCAGCATGGTGGGTCATTCCCCACCCCCCCAGGACAGTGGCGGGGGGTCCTGCCCACCACATCGGTGCAGGCCCCATGGATATGCTTTGCTTCTGCCTCACCATCGTCTTCTTCACATAGACTTCCTCCCCTCTGGAGAGGCCAAAGTCAGCAATCTTGGAGGCCAGGTTTTCTCCCACCAGGATATTCCTGGCTGCCAGGTCCCTGTGAATGAACTGAAAGGGGCCAGCAGTCAGCAGGAGCCACATTCTCCCTCCTGCTGGCCCCAGGGATCTCACATCTTGATGAGGAGTCCTGAGACCCCAGGGGAAGGATGCCCTGAGGGGCTTGCTGGGGATGTACCTGTTTCTCGCTCAGGTACTGCATCCCCTTGGCCACGTCTGAAGCAAACTGGAGGAGCTGCTGTGAGGTCAGGGTGGAGGCAGTGCCGTGCTCCTTGGCAAAGGCCGGGTCTGTCTCCAAGACTCGGCTTTTGCGGAGGAAGTCGAGAAGGTTTCCATAGGGAGCATACTCAATGGCGATGTATAGGTAGCCTGAGGGGCAGGAGGTTGGGCTCATGGGGCTCTCGCCAGCAAAGAGGAATACACAGTCAGGCAGGGGCCATGGGGCTGGGGAGAGGGGAGAGTGGGACAGCCCTCACCCTTGTTCTCACAGGCACCCAGCAAGTTGATGATGTTGGGGTGATGGCCCAGTTTGCACAGCACCTCCAGCTCCCCGGCAAAATCCCGATGGTCATTCTCTGAAGCAAACTCTGGAAGAAAAGAAGTGATGGACACTTCAGTCCTACAACAGGGGCCCTTTGTCTGCTCCTCCACTGATGGCTCCTGCCCTTCCTCAGTCCTGAGCATGGCCCAGGATGCAGCTGTATCCACCAGCCCACCCTGCCTGCCTCCCCCATGCTCACCTTTCAGCATCTTGATGGCTGCATTCATTTTCAGGCCATCCTTTTTGATCATGGCTCTGATGACCTGCCCGAAGTTGCCCTCTCCAATCATGTCCTCAAACTTGATGTCTTCCCACTCCAGGATGGGGTAACTGAGGGGCTCGGGCTGCGGCTTGGGCCGGCGTGTCAGTGTCAGGGTTCCTGAGTTGAACTGCAGGATGGTCTCTTCCCCCTGGCAGA